GAGGGTGCAGGGTGAACGAGGTCAAGTCGAGTCGGGCTTTGACCGATTGGACCCACATTGAGCATCCAGTCGGGTAAATGCCGAGAACCCCCTTTCATAGGCGAGTGGGAATCGAGTTACGACCGAGTAGAGGGTCAGGGTCGCCCTACTACCGTTAGGGAGGTCAGGTCGGATTACGACCTGGACGGTACACTTGCCTTCCAGCCCTGAGCCTATAAGGCGAGAGGGCTTAGGGCCTGGCGGCATAGTCGGGTATTTGCCGAGCAGAGGGTCAGGCTCGCCCTACTGCCGTTAGGGAGATCAGGTCGAATTACGACCTGGACGGTACACTTGCCTTCCAGCCCTGAGCCTATAAGGCGAGAGGGCTTAGGGCCTGGTGGCGTAGTCGGGTATTTGCCGAGCAGAGGGTCAGGGTCGCCTTGTTGCCGATGATGAGATAGGGTCAGCTATTAACCGGGAGGATCTTAGGGAGCCGGCCGATGCGGGGGCTAAGTTATCGTAAGTAGAGACATCCTTTCCGTATCCGACCATGCCTTAGAGCACATATGGCGAAATAGCTTAAAAGGGGTCGGGATCCGATTCGAGTGACGTTTGGGGTGTTGGATGCGTAACGGTTCCCAAAGCCTGCCTCTTCACCTTACCCTTGAAGAGACGTGCATTCATTGTAGCGCCGTCGCTTGAAGGGAGTCCTTATGACAGTGCCACGTGTCGATTGGTACGCGTTGCAGAAGCGTTGGGGGTCCCAAAGGTCAGGAGACGTGGCGTTTCACGCGCGTCCTTTCCCACACGCGACTCTCCATCCCTATAAATACCCTTTTTACACAAATTACTTTACTCTTTTGTTCCCTCCTTTTTCTTTCTTGCTTCTTCTCCAGCGAGCGCTTTTCTTTTCCCCTGTCCCCTCACGGTGGTTTACGGTGGTTCTGAGGCATTTTCTAAAGGAAAGGAAGTGTCTTTTTTGAAATCTTGGTAGGTACGCCCAAATACTTATTGTGTTTAGTAGTTATTCTTTGCCTGTCGCTCTAGTTGTTTGGTTATATAGGCTTTAAATCTATGGAACTGGTAAATTATAAGGAGATTTATGAATGGGTGAGGGATGATGTATTGAGGTGTGACTCTTGTATAAATTCTTGGGCTGCCATGGAAAGTTTCAATAATGAACATGTAGTGAGTCGGGGTTCTGATAATATTCTAGTGTGCGAGCCTTGTGTGGATAAAGAGCCAGTGTGTATTAGTTCAGCCTCGGAACGTTTTACCTTTTGTTATGTTACCCTAGTTGCTAAACTTAGGGTTAGGTGGCCTCTTACCGAGTGCGAAAAGGGGGTACTTAGGACTTTGAACGTAGCCCCTACCCAATTCCATCCAAATAGTTGGGCCTTCGTTAGGGGGTTTGATGTTTTGTGTTCCAGTCTCGGAATAACACCGACTCCTAGTAAATTCTTTTATTTCTTCGAAGCACGTGTCTCCAAACGTAGTAGCTGGGTTTCGGTGGGTAGTGTGTCGGGTCGAGGTTTGCTATCTCTCTTTCAATCGTCCTACAAGGACTTTAAAAGGTCCTTTTTTCGCATTCGGTGCCTACCTGGGCACGAGGGTTTACTTGAGGGATTTCCTCTTTTCTGGAACAAGCAACCGATCTCTTTTGGTGGGCTAAAGCCCGAGTCACTCCCGGAGGATGACCGAGAGGACGTTAAAAAACTTGAAGACTTGAAAACCCTTTTCAACACCGCGAAACTTCTAGATCTAGAAAATAGGCCCCAAGAGTTGAGAATATATATAGGTATTTTGCGTTTGTTTGAATGTTGAAATTTTGTTTATTTCGTCTTTGGCCTCTGTTATCATTATTAATTATCGGGTGCATTTCTTGTAGATAGAATGGCTAGCTTGGGAACTCGTGAGATGATGAAGTTATGGAAGCAACAAAAGGCTTCCCAAGTTGCTGGCGTTGGCGAGTCGGTCACCGAGAGGGTTGTCGTGGCCGCGAGTCCTGTGACATTGGCGAAAAACGTGGGCCAAACTTCGCATAAGCGTCACCGCGAAACCGACAGACCAATTTCGGTAGTCAACTTGGATACCATTATGGCCTCTGAAGGGGATAAGGGTGACACGGAGGTCCAATCGGCTGAAAGGACTATCAGCGCTTGCCTGGGTGAGAATTGGGAGCCAGTTGATCACGGTGTCGATCGTGGTGACTTGGTTTCTTTCTGGGATGAAAAGTTCAACCACAGTGCCCCTATTCGTGGGACTGACCTACTAGAGGGAGACCGTGAAGACTTAGAAAAAATGAGTGCTTTTTCGATCACCAAAGGGGTTGAGTCACTGACTAATCGACTATCTGCGCTCTCAATCGTCAATGAAGATAAAATTCGTGGGTTAGTCCGAGAAGTCAAACTTCAAGGCAAGAAAATTAGTTCCCTTGAGGAGAGTGTGAAGAAGGGCAAATCCGATCTCCAATGGGTGGTGTCCGAGCGCGACAAGTTGCTTGAGGGGCGGCGCGCCTTTAAGGAGGAAAAGAAGACGTGGGCTTCCGAGAAGTCAGTCCTTGAGAAAGATCTCGAGGAGGCCCACCTGGCCCGAGACAAGAATGCTGATGCGGCGCAGATTTTTGAAGGCGACCTTGCCTTGGCGAAGGCCGAAATTGAAAAATTACAGGCCGACCTCGAAGCCGCTAAGATGGATGCCTTGACTAAGTTTGTGCAAGGTTTTGATGCTGCAACGAGCCAAGTGAAGCTGCTTCATGCCAACATCGACCTTGGGGGGCTTGGCTACTTCAAGGAGATTGTGAATGGGGAACTTGTGGACCCCCCGGAGGACGATTGATCTTGTCCGTCAAACTTTGTAGTTTTCATTTTATTTTCAATTTCTGTTGTACTCCTTCTATTGTCAGTTGTTGTTCTTGTTTTGAAAACGCTTCATGAAACATGCTTTTTTGCTTGATATTGTGCGTTATTGAAATTAGGGATTCGTTCCCAACTCTTAACCATAAGAAATGCATTTTGAACCAACTGTAAGGCTTTCTAAATGAAAATGAGCAACAAATTATCACCTAAACGCCAAATAAAATGTTGAGTAGAAATTTCTATGTTAGAATAGGATAATCACTTGATCACCCGAATTCCGGATCGAATAAAAAGAATTTTTAAATAAAATAAGGGAAACACATGATCGCCCGAATTCCGAGTCAAAATAATGAATGAAAATTTTTTTAAGTCAAAATAAGGGAACCTTCGTGATCGCCCAAATTCCGAGTCAATTTAAGGAATGAGAAAATTTTCCAAGGGAACCACGTGATCGCCCGATTTCCGAATCAAATAATGTGAAAATTTTCTAAGTTAAAAGACGACCGTAACGTTATCGCCCGAATTCCGAGTCAAAATGATGAATGAGAAAAATTTCTAAGTCAAAATAAGGGAACCTACGTGATCGCCCAAATTCCGCCCTATAGTTGTAGAGATCTTTATGAAACGAACGTCATCGGTCCTTTACCGATTTACGATTTTGGGATTGCCGATTTTCTGGGTATAGAAAATAAAATGTTGAGTAAGAAATTCACCACGTTAGAGTTCATAATCGCGTTTTCGGTCTTCGAGTTGTTTATACTCGCCCAGTCGGACTTTTGCCGACAATTACGAGTTTCGGTCTTCGAGTTATTTATACTCGCCCAGTCGGACTTTTGCCGACAATCACGAGTTTTGTCTTCGAGTTATTTATATTCGCCCAGTCGGACTTTTGCCGACAATCACGAGTTTTGTCTTCGAGTTATTTATACTCGCCCAATCGGACTTTTGCCGACAATCACGAGTTTTGTGCCTTTAAAATAACACGTTAGGAATCATGAAAGAAAGCAATGAGATGACATTTATAAGGATTGGAAAGGTGGTGCCTCGTTAAAAACTTTCTCAGCAAAAACCCCTCATATTTTTACGGGACAAAATACTGAGTTAGGAAAAGAGTGCACCTAATACAAATGGATAAACAGACTAGCTATAGTAAAAGCGCAAATTCGCAGCGTTCCACGTCCTCGGTATCATCCCTCCATCCAAGGTCCTGAGTCGGTAAGCTCCTTTGCCGACCACATCATCAATTTTATACGGGCCGACCCATTTCGGTGACAACTTGTTCCTCATTTGTGTTAGCTGAGCGCGCTTCAAAACGAGGTCTCCTACAACGAAGTCTCTTGGAACGACCTTTATGTTGTACTTGAAAGCTGCTCTTCTCTGGGCTGCTACTTGATTTATCTTTGCTATTTCTCTCGTCTCGGCGATCAAGTCCAAGTCCACCCGTCTTCCTTGGTCAGATTCCTCTTCCGAAAAAGCTGTAGTACATACTGAGGGTTCCGCAATTTCGATCGGGATCATGGCGTCTGTTCCATACACTAGGTTAAAAGGAGTGTCCTGGGCCGACGAATGAACAGTTGTGTGGTATGACCATAGCACGCGGGGAAGCTCCTCCACCCATGAAGCGCCTGAGTCTTGGACGCGCTTCTTCAAACCCGAGAGTATGACCTTGTTTGCCGACTCAGCTTGACCGTTAGATTGGGGGTGCTCGACAGAGGTGAATATCATTCCGATGCCGACCTGCCCACAAAAATCGCGAACTCTCGCGCTTGCAAATTGTGTCCCATTGTCAGAAACAAGTACTTGGGGAACGCCATACCTGCACACCACATTCTTCCATAGAAACGCTCTAACCTTCTCTGCCGAGATGGTTGCTACAGGTTCTGCCTCAATCCATTTGCTAAAGTAGTCCACAGCCACTATCAGGAATTTTAACTGTCTCACAGCAATCGGAAATGGACCGAGAATATCAATCCCCCATTTGTTGAATGGCCAGGGCGACAGGATCGAGTGGAGTCGTTCAGCCGGGGAATGGTGCAGAGTTGCATGCCTTTGACATCCATCACACTTCTGAACCCAATTGATGCAGTCATTCCTCAGACTCAGCCAAAAGTAACCTGCCCTCGCCACTTTGTACACCAGAGCTCGTCCTCCGATATGGCTTCCACACATTCCGCTATGCACTTCGTCCATCACTTTTTCCGCTTGTGACGTGGTCAAACACCTTAAAAGGGGAGAGCTGAAGCCTTTTCGATATAATCTTTCATTGATGGTCACGAACCTGGCCGACTCTCTTTGTATTAGTGACGCCTCCTTCTTATCCTCTAGCAACTCCCCCCGAGTCAAGTATGCAATGTACGGTCCCATCAATGAATCGAGCTCTTCTTGGATGAAAAGAACACTCCCCTGTGGACTGTTGATGCTCGGAGGAGTCAATGTTTCCTGGATGACTGACCGAGTGGCTCCTGGCTTCTTTGTGCTTGCGAGCTTGGAGAGCAGATCAGCTCGTGAATTTTGCTCTCGTGGAACGTGGTTAAGTGTGAACTCTCGGAAGGTTCCAAGTACTTGGCCAATTGAGGATCCTTCGCTTGGAAGGTTCCAGCCACTTGCCCGGTGATCAATTGGGAGTCGCTTCTAGCTGATAAGCTCGTCGTCCCCATCTCCTTCGCCAAACTCATCCCTACTAGCAACGCCTCATACTCGGCTTGGTTGTTGCTTGCTCGGAACTCAAACCGTAACGACTGCTCTAGTAGTATTCCCCCCGGGCCCTCCAAGACAATTCCAGCTCCACTTCCTCCTAGATTTGAAGCACCATCAACCGATAGAATCCACTGGGTTTCACTGACCGTATCCTCCTCGGCCGGAGGGGTCAATTCCATCAGGAAGTCGGCTAACGCTTGAGCTTTGATGGCTCCTCTTGGCTCATACTTGATGGAGAATTCCGATAGCTTGACCGACCATTTCATCATTCTACCAGCTAGGTCGGGCTTCTGCAAGACTTGCCGAATCGGATGATCAGTGCGGATTATCACTTCGTAACTTTGGAAGTAGTGTCTCAACTTCCTCGCGGTTATCAGTATCGTAAGGGCCAATTTCTCGATCTTCTGATACCTCGTTTCTGCTCCCTGTAAGACCCGACTCACAAAATACACTGGAGCCTGAGAGCCTTCCTGCTCTTGGACTAAAATTGCACTGACAGCTCGGTCGGAGGCCGATATATAAACCAGCAAAGGGATACTCGGCCGAGGTTTCGTCAAGATCAGTGGCGACGCGAGCGACTTCTTTAGCTCCAGGAAAGCCTCCTCACACTCAGTTGTCCAGGCAAAACGATTATTCTTCCTGAGGCATTTAAAGAGTGGGAGTGCCTTGTCGGCCGCCTTTGAAAGAAAGCGCGACAAGGACGCCATTCTCCCTGCAAGTTGTTGTACCTCTTTCACCATAGATGGGCTCCTCATGTTGATAATCGCCGAGCACTTGTCCGGGTTGGCTTCAATGCCGCGGTGAGTCAGCAGGGAATGAACTTTCCCGCCTGGACACCGAAAGAGCACTTCTCAGGATTCAGTTTGAGCTGGTACATGCCAATGGTGTCGAACAATTCCTGCAAGTCGTCAAAGTGCCGACTGACGCTTTCCGACTTCACCACCATGTCGTCTACGTAAGCTTCCACATTCTGACCTAGTTGATTCACAAGGACTTTGTCCATCAGTCGCTGATAAGTCGCCCCTACGTTCTTCAGACCGAACGGCATAACCCGATAGCAGAAATTGGCTTGATCGGCTATGAAGGCGGTCTTGTCCTCGTCTGCAGGATGCATTCGGATTTGGTTGTACCCCGAGTAAGCATCCATGAACCTTAGTAACTCGTATCCCGACGCCCCGTCCACCAGGCAGTCTATGTTCGGCAGCGGGTACGAGCCTTTTGGGCAGGCCTTGTTAAGGTCGGTGAAGTCCGTACACATTCTCCATTTCCCGCTGCTCTTGCGCACCATGACTACGTTGGCCAACCAGGTCGGATATTGGATTTCACGAACGTGTCCTGCCATCACTAACTTCTGCGTCTCTTCCGCGATAGCCCTTCGTTTTTCCTCGCCAAACTTCCTTCTCTTCTAAATTACTGCCTTCGCACTAGGGTCTATGGCCAACTTGTGGCACAAGAAATTTGGATCAGTTCCAGGCATGTCGCTGGAATGCCATGCGAATGCCGACACATTGTCCTTTAGAACCCTCACCAATTTCTCTTCGTCCTCGGGAGTCAAAGAGTTACCTATCTTTACGTTTCTCCCTTCCATTACCTCCACTTCCTTGACGTCTTCTACTGGGGCGGATCGGTGGTCGAACTGACCCATTCTAGGGTCCAGTTCGACGGAATGGACCTCCTTTTCTACCCGCTTAGTGTATAGTCGCCTTCGCGCCTTTAAACTATCCCCGTAGCATTTCCGAGCAACCTCCTGGTCCACCCTGAGAACTCCCACAGCACCACTCAGCAACGGGTACTTTACCTTCAGATGGGAAGTAGACACTATTGCTCCCAGCTTGTTCAGAGTCGGCCTGCCGACCAGTATGCTGTACGATGACTGAGCGTCGACTACCAAATACCGAACGACCACCGTCTTCATCTGAGCTCCCTGGCCAAAGGTCGTCTCCAGATCAGTGTATCCCCTTGCGATGACCTGGTCTCCTGCCAAACCCACTAGAGTCCCTGCATAAGGAATTAGTCGGTCGCTAGGTATTTTCATCCCCTCAAAGGTTTCCTAGAATAAAATGTCCGCGGAACTTCCCTGGTCAATCAACACACGCTTCACATTGTACCCCATGACAATCGCCGATACGACGACGGGGTCGCCCTCATGAGGGGCTACTCCTTCGTAGTCTGAGTCCGAGAATGAGATCTCAGGCTGAGTAGGTTGCCTGAATTCCGATACTGTAAGCACCGACCGAGTGTACCTTTTTCGGGCAGTAGGGGTAGCTCCCCCGCCCGCGAAGCCCCCTATGATGGTGTTGAAATCCCCATGGATGGGTTGCTGATGGGCTTCCGACACCTTTGCTGGCGCGTCTCTGGGAGGAGTTTTCTCTTTACGCCTATCCCTCTTGGAGTCATCTTGCTTGCGCCTGGGTCGCCTATCTGACGAGCTTCCCTCCTGCTTTCTCGCCACAAACTCCTTCAGTCGTCCCTCCTTGATTAAACGCTCGATCTGTCTTCCCAAAACAAAACAATTTTCAGTTGAGTGCCCGTGAGTCCTATGGAACTCACACCAATCGGTTTTGAAAGGGCCCAACTAACGCTCCGTCGCCACCGGGAACTCAAACAACGATGCGCTATTGACATCGTGGAGTATTTGTCGCCTGGGTACAGTGAGTGTAGTAAACTTCTCTTCTTCATTGCTGCGCGTCCACTCGCCCCTTGACCGACCACCGTGATTGGCCTGCCTGTAATTGCCGTCCTTCACGTTGTACCGGTCACGTCGTTTGCTCCAGTCTGATCGCGGTCGGAGATGCTTGTTCCCCTCCTTATTCCTGCCCCCGGCTTCTCGGTTCTCAGCTGCCCTTTTAATGATCTGGTTCTCCTCCGTCTTGATGTGGCTCAAGGCGAAAGCCCTCACCTCCGACATTGTTTGGCAATTCGCCCTTTCAAGTGCAATGTCGAAGGCTCCGGACCTCAAACCTTTCTGAAACGCGATGACCGCCATTCTCTCATCCAACGATGCTATCCTTAGAGCAACCTCATTGAATCTCTGCAGAAAATCCTTCAATGACTCCTCCCGTTGCTGCTTAAGATCAAATAAATCCGACGTGATTGGTTGCTTCTTCTTATTAGCAGCAAATTGAGCCATAAACAGCCGACTGAAGACGTCAAAGTCGGTGATGGATCGATCGGGGAGGCCACTAAACCAATCAAGCGCCGCCTTCTTGAGTGTGCCCATGAACAACTTGCAGCGGACTTCCATGCTTCCTCCACAGATCAACATTTGAGCCCGGAAGTCCGTCAAATGTTGACTGGGGTCCTGCGTTCCATCAAAGGGTTCGACCTGTGGTATCCGATGATCCCTAGGGATCATCTCGGCCTCTATGGCTTCCGAGAATGGTCGAAAGTCTCTAGGGACCTCCAGCATGATGTCCTCCTCCACAGTCCTGGTACTAGCTGATATTCTGGCCTGCATCTCATCCGCTCGTCTCCTGATCTCCTCGTTTTCTCGTTGGATGACCTCCTCTCTCTCCCTGGATCGCGCATTTTCCTCCCTTAAGCCATTGATCATGGCCATCATCTCCTCCATGGTTGGTGGTTGCGAGTTGTTGTTGTTGTTGCCGCCTCTTGCCATGGTAAAGTGTAGGTTTTTTGTGTTTCTTGGGGCGTAGGAAGAGTTTCACCGTAGCCCCACGGTGGGCGCCAAAATGTTCCGGCCACGGGGTGGACTAGGGTTTTTTCCTAGATCGTGCCTTAGAGCCAGGGCCTCTTAGGCCCCGAGAATGAGGGGATTTCCTTAACCGTCGTTATCTCTAGGGTGCAGGGTGAGTGAGAGCAAGTCTAGTCAGATTCTGACCGACTGGTTATTTCGAGGGTGCAGGGTGAACGAGGTCAAGTCGAGTCGGGCTCTGACCGATTGGACCCGCATTGAGCATTTAGTCGGGTGAATGCCGAGAACCCCCTTTCATAGGCGAGTGGGAATCGAGTTACGACCGAGTAGAGGGTCAGGGTCGCCCTGCTGCCGTTAGGGAGGTCAGGTCGGATTACGACCTGGACGGTACACTTGTAATGAGCAAACAATGAGAAAATTGTGAATCACTCATGTTGATAACACTGAGATGCAGAGCAACGAGATATTTATTAAATCACTGTTAGAATATTTAAGAAATACCTCTTATATTATTATTATTAAGGTTAGCTTAGTAGTTGAATTAAAATAATTAAAAATATGAGAATCTAGATTAAATTTTTATTGCAACTATCTTTATAATCGTTTTTATCTTTATAAAAAAAAAATGCAAGTGCTATATTCAATAGAAGCGGGCCAAATAGAAATTGTCTGATGCCCGCAAAACTCTATTTTCCATGATCAAAGTATCAAGGTTCATGATATATACACCTCCTTTTTTTATAAGTACACCTCCTTTTAAAAAAAATAAGTAAAATTTTAAAATATTCTTAATTTTTTGTTTTAAATTTTTTAATTTTACATTCACAACATTTAATTTAGTATTTTTTTTACATATCTTTCCTTCTTTTTTCAATTTTTACATGCACCTCCTTATTTTTCTTTCACCCACCTATTTTGGTAGCATGTAAAAATTGAAAGAGAAAAAAAAAAGTGTGTGAATAGGAAAAAAAAAGTAACAAATTAAAAGTTAAAAGTGTAAAATTAATTTTTTTTAAAAAAAATTATAATATTTTATAATTTTTTTTAAAAGAATGAGGTGTACTTATAAAAAAAAGGAGGTATATATATCATGAGCCAAGTATCAAACCCAAAATGTTTTAATGCAAGTGTTAATTTGGGCCATACAACTATGGGCCATTCTATAGAAGCGGGCCAAATCAAAATTGTCTAATCCACAAAAAAACTCTGTTTTTTCCTTGATCAAGGTATGAAACCAAAATACGTATATGAAATTTGAATTGTATTTAGGGAAATGTTGTCCCGTAAGAAAATAAAACGAATTTTCAATTAAAAACATTATTAATCATCAGATTCAGGTTTCGCATTTCCATTTACAACTAATCATCGAGAGTGAACGGAGAAGGAACAATTATGAATCGGATGTTTCACGAAATTAATAATGTCAAGGTAATTTATTTCATTTCATGTGCCAATAAAATAAAATAAGAGCATTTCCGCATATACGTAGAGGTTGGTGTCTTCATAAAATAAAATTTTTAATAAGAGCATTGAAGCCTCATGCATTGTCCTAAGCCATCGTATGTCTCAATCTGCCATGATCATTTGAAATCCATGCATGGCAGACAATATTGCTTTAGGAATTAAGCTACCAAAACCAATTTTATATATATACGCTATCAATTAATGCTTATGTCACCCATTGAGCTCGCCAATGTCATTGTACCTAATTAAAATATTTAACATCTTTAACAACATTTACGTATTTATATTTATTAAAATTTTATTATAAATTAAATTAATAGATTATTATAATACTTTTTTAGAAAATATTATTATAGATACAAAAATATTTTTATTTTAATATATTTTTTTAATTATTTCCAAAATTAACTATCACATCAAGTAAAAATATGACATATAAAAAGTATGTTTTTTAAATCTCTAATTATTTATTAAAATTAATTAAAATATCAAATCAAGTAAAAAAATGACGCGTAAAAAATATATATAACTAAAAAGTTAAATTTAAAATAAATAAAATTTGATATGTAATATAAATTTAGTGGTAACTAACTTAAAATATTTCCTTTCGTAAAAAAAAAAAAATTTCAATTTTAAAAAACTTGTAGATAAAGAACGTTAAAATATAAGTGATAATATATAATATATATTAATACTAATTATTATTTTATAAAATTTACAAAAAAATTAATAATATTATTAAAATGTTACAAAATACCACTTTAGTAATATTTTTAAAAGTATTAAAAATTTTAAGCAACATAAATTTTATCTTACATTTGAATATTTGATAAAATATTAGAAAAAATATATTAACAACATTCCTCATAATCCAACAACATTTTTTTAATGTTACTAAAAAAAAACACACATTTTATTGTAGCACTTACGAATGGCAGATGGTTAATTAATAAATTACCTTTTTCAAGACACTAAGAAACCATTTGTTTGATGAATGCTTCACCAAATATACAAAGAGATGATTAGCCAAAAGAGATTGGTTTGTGTGGTCCTGTGTCTGCTGTGTGCTTGGGGGATACAAAAAAAGCTTCCAACTAACTTGTTGCACTTTCAATGGAATTGATCTAGCCTAGCCGTCACAAATTAAAATACAAGAGGATTCCCCTATGCAACTTAGACTTCTTCATTTTCTCCCCATTCACCAACACTTGTAATGGACATAATATACATTATATATACTGCCAGTTATATTATAATTAACACTTTAACGTATGTTATAATATAACACTCTCTTGGCAGTATATGCATCATTCAAAAAGTATGCATTCATTAATTTGTAGGTGCATAGCTCACGTCTACGAGATAAGTTTGCACACAGTACTAGTGTGGGATATAATTAAAAAAGTTCATTTAAAATAAGTCGTTTGAAATTGATATTTCATTTAAAATACACATGTAAAATTCTATCTGAAAATAATAAGTATCTAACACATAGCTAGTAACTAGTTATGGCACACAGTTGGCCGTACTGTGTGATCACAGCCTCACAGTATTTCCCGTGAAGAAAATAAAGGACAAATTAAACGAGTTGTTGGACATACTCAGCAAGTAGAAGTTTATGCAATTCAATCCAGTTACCCACTTTAGGTATATAGTCTGACAACTGTAATGGCCAAGCTAATTAATTACTTGTACGTACCTCATACAAATTTCACTCTATAATTATATAATTTCTACATTTAAATGTCATGAAAAAGATGGATGGAAATCTTAAATTTAATTATCACTCTAAAGAGATAAAGAGAGACAGGAGAGTAAATTATATATATGTATGATAGTTAGTATATATAGTTATATGATGGAAGAGAGATATAAAAGAAATGATAGGTACTGTATTCAATAAGTGTTTAGACTTAAGAGTGATAGAGTATTCCCATATTACTACCCTTACTTTTTATTTATATATAGGCTGTGAGATGATATTGCATGCGTCTACGATCTTCACGACAGTAATGTTCAAATAGGACAAAGCAGAATTTCTTGTTTAACCAAAAGTAAGTATTCAAATGTTTTCTCCTGACTCATTTTTTATGTGGGATATAGAATGAATTTCCTCATATTTATATATTACAAACAACACAAAATAAACCTTTCTAGTTACTTATTAACAAATTCTCTTCGCTATTCAGTTTGTGAAGATTTTCCTAAGTAATATAATAAAGGGTACAATTATCGAAATTTAACTGAATTTAGAGATGCCTTATTATTGAAAAATGGGGAGACTTAGCATTATGTTTTACTCTAATACCTTACGTTGCCAGTACCCATTTCATCTAAAACAATTGGTTAAAATGTTTATGCCCTTTTTCTGCTTGCAATTATTCTTTGATAATCGATGCTGCAATCGATAGCCTAGACACACTCATTTGATTTATATGCAATCATGCTATCATTTTTTTATATCTCCATATTATGTTGGCTTTTACTTTTTACATGTTGCATATTTATTAAAAAAGAATGCACATGTATTCCAATGCAACACTAATTTTTTTTAAGAAAAAAATTGTCTCCTTATTGTATCAATAAGATATATATTAGGTTATAAATAATAACTAATCAAAGAATTATTAAAAAAAATTCATTAACACTAATATATTTTTCCTTCTTTAACAGTATTTATCTACCTACATTTATTAAAATAATGTTACTATAAATTATATTAATGGATTATTTTGCAAAATTATTTATGAAAAATACTATTATAGATAAAATAATATTTTTTTTATCTTAACGTTGTTCTCTCTAATTGTTTCTAAAATTAAATTCCCACGTCAAGTAAAAATTGTCATAAAAAGAGTATCTTTTTCAATCTCCAATAGTTTTCAAAAGTTAAAATCTCACGTCGAATAAATGAAATAATGAATTACATGAAAACAATATATATAATCATAAAGTGATATTTGAGATAAATGAATTTTGATATTAAATATAAATTTAATAATAATTAATTAATAAGGATGTCTTTAATCTTAAAGAACTTATAAAAAATTATGAGTCATAAAATATAAGTGATAGCATCTATTTTAAAATTAATTATTATTTTATAATTAGAACTTAATAATATTATTAAAATGTTATAAAAATATCACTTTAATAATATTTAAAAAATGTTGCCTACTTATATAAAAATATTATTAAAAGTCTTTAACAACATAAATTATATACAACATTTGATAATATGTCACATAAATAAATTAATAATATTTATACACAATTAAATAATAATTTTTAAATATTATCAAAAACTCTTTCTGTTATGTATAATCCAGTGAAAAGTGTAGCTTTGAAGGGGAAAATAAACACATGGCATTCTAAATGATACTTTGTATACATTAAAAGAATACAACTTTATGAAAAGTCAATAAAGCTTTTATGCAATTTTATTTTGAAATTTAATTAATTCTTTTAAAAAATATGATAATATATAAATTAAAATTTATGATTAAATTAAAAAGGGAAATGCATGTTTTTTTAAATGAAAATAAAAAATAACATTTATAAAGTAAATGTCAATATTCAGTATTCACATTAGAGAGTACCATAAAAAATTAAGTTACACGTATTAACTAAGATTTTTTTTTTAATAAGGATGTATTTAACTACTTCACATCCTCTCGGACAACAAAGAATAGTGTAACGTAATAGATAGAGTGCATCGAAGGCATTTTTTAATTTATTGAATTGATTAATATATAGAGCCATGATTAATGTTTATGGTAACACTTTAGTTTTTGTCAAACAAAATTTATAGTAATAAATACTAATCTAACATCATCTTTTTTGGTGGACCAAACGTTTCATTATAAGCTCAAAAGAAAGTTAAAAATAAAATAAAATAGTGGCATGCTAATGATTTGGATAACAACAAAAAAATAGTGTTATGTTAATCAACTTAGCTAATTTTCTAAATCAATTAACATGTCTGAAAATAAAAATATTACAATGAAAATTTATTTATCAAAAAATAAATAAATGCCACTTTTTTCTATTAGAAGGACAAGTTTTATTAATAATCGTTTATATAAATCATAATTAAATTTTAAATATTATAATTATGTTAAATTTTTCAAAAATTTTAATTCTATAGCATTTTATTTTTCCTTTTCTTTAGTAGAGAATTTGTCAAATTTCAATATTTTTTCCCTAAGTATATAATAAATACTTAAAATAATGTTAATTCAATTATAGAATTGAATTAATTTAGTGTCCTGAGATAAAAGTATATTGTAAATTAAATAAATAACAGATATATATTATTATGTATTCACTTCAAAAACAGATAATTTAATAAAAAAAATATCTTCAAACTTTATATGAACAAATTTTATATACACGTGATAGAATCTTGACTTTTTTTTTAAAGGAAAAAAATTGACTTAAAAATAGTATATATTAAATCACATAGGTAACATAATTAATTTTTTTAATTAAAAAAATTAATAAATGTATTTTTATTACAAACTGTTGAAAGAAATAAGTTTTACTAAAATGAAGACAGTTCTTATAAATATTTACATATCTAAAATGTAGAAGACAAATCTATTCACATAATTATTGAAAATTTCAAAGCATAATTATATGTTCTCTTATATATATATATTTCATATTCAGTTTATATGATTTTAATGTTCCCAATAAGGCATATTAGTATTTATTTAAATTAGTTTAATTATTTTATATGAAACCATACATATACATACACATATATATATATATATATATAATGGAAATGAATTTTTTATAGATAAAAACGAAAATTAAGATAAATTTATATGAAAATGTATTATTATTTGAATTACCCAAATAATTCATTTCCATAATATATATATATATATATATATATATATATATATATATAAATATTTACATGATCACATTTAAAAAGCTCTATACTTAATTTAGTTATACTAGTTGTATATGTATATATAATAATACCAGTTAAATAAACAAACAAGTTATGATATAATAAAAAAATGTTTGAAATTGGAGTATAAATAATGAAGTCTTGCATAAATATAATTAAAATATAGTTAAATATGAATGAGGACTGATCTAATAGATATATTAATTGCTTTTCAAATTTTTTAGTCAATATGTAATATTAGACCACTCTTTTGGCTTCTTTTCTTACACATTGAATGATTATTTTTAATTTTGAAAAATTCTATATATATACTCCTATTTTGGGGTGTATTGGAATATTAAAGGAAAGAGAGAGGTAGAAAGATAAAATAGTAAATATAATATGTAATGAAAAAAGTGGAGAGGAAAGGAAAAAAAATTGTAGAAGTGAATTGCAAGAGAGGATTGAGTATAAATTTATAATTATCTTTACATGTACTATCTAATAAGTGGTATCAAAATGAAGTTATTAGTTTAAAACCTTATGTCATAAAATAATTAAATACAATGATATATATATATATATATATATATACTATTTTGACTTAATCATCTAATTTATTAAGATTAAAAAATAATTAATTTAATTAATAACAATAAGTTTGTCCTGTTTATATATTTTTTTAGTTCTAAAACTATTGTAGATTTTGTCTTATGAAGTACTTTTCTACTTTTAGTATAATAATAATAATAATAATAATAATAATATATGCACTTTGATATATTTTTTTAATGAGAATCTTTTTACTTGATTCTCTTAGACTATTATCTTTGTTATTTTTCTACATCTAATAAAATTAATATCAAAATTTCCAAAATTTGCATTATTAAATTAATGCTTCATATTCTTGTCTTAATAGATTATGAGTTTAACAAGGGTCCAAATGCAAAATTTCATTTAGTAATCTATACATTCCAAAAAGAGTTAGCCTCTAACTATCAATTGGAGAATCTCTTTGATACATTAAAGTAAAACATAGATTATATATTTGTTTTTTTCTATAAATATAATTTATTTAATTTTTATTCTCTTAATTTACTTTGTTAAAATGTGCTTCTTTTTTTTTTTTTTTTTTGAATTGCAGTACACATAATTAAATTGATGATATTCTTGTTTAATTAATCTTGATGATTTATTATTAATACAAATCAAATCCATTTTACTAGCACAAAATGATACTAACCTTATATGAAATATTGGTGAAAAATTAAAGTTATTTTCCATGCAACACTCTATGCCTATAAAATGACATTTTTCTTTTAATCAAAACATCACAACCAAAATATACATTGTAAAAACATAGAGAAGAGTAATGACAATGAATAACATTCGTATATATATATATATATATATAATGGAAATGAATTTTTTATAGATAAAAACGAAAATTAAGATAAATTTATATGAAAATGTATTATTATTTGAATTACCCAAATAATTCATTTCCATAATATATATATATATATATATATATATATATATATATATAAATATTTACATGATCACATTTAAAAAGCTCTATACTTAATTTAGTTATACTAGTTGTATATGTATATATAATAATACCAGTTAAATAAACAAACAAGTTATGATATAATAAAAAAATGTTTGAAATTGGAGTATAAATAATGAAGTCTTGCATAAATATAATTAAAATATAGTTAAATATGAATGAGGACTGATCTAATAGATATATTAATTGCTTTTCAAATTTTTTAGTCAATATGTAATATTAGACCACTCTTTTGGCTTCTTTTCTTACACATTGAATGATTATTTTTAATTTTGAAAAATTCTATATATATACTCCTATTTTGGGGTGTATTGGAATATTAAAGGAAAGAGAGAGGTAGAAAGATAAAATAGTAAATATAATATGTAATGAAAAAAGTGGAGAGGAAAGGAAAAAAAATTGTAGAAGTGAATTGCAAGAGAGGATTGAGTATAAATTTATAATTATCTTTACATGTACTATCTAATAAGTGGTATCAAAATGAAGTTATTAGTTTAAAACCTTATGTCATAAAATAATTAAATACAATGATATATATATATATATATATATATATACTATTTTGACTTAATCATCTAATTTATTAAGATTAAAAAATAATTAATTTAATTAATAACAATATATTTATCTTATTATTATCTTTATATTACTTTCCTTTTCTAATTAATATTACTCACGTATTCTATAATCAATTAAAATGTATGTTTGATATTATTTTTTTTCTTTTAACCAACTAATATACATGTTGATCTTTAAAGAATTTAATTAATGTATTTTATCAAATTAAGAAAATATATTTTAATAATGGATTTTTTAGTCTAAAAATAATTAACATATAAAAAAAATATCTTATATAAAGGAACATATAATTATTCTAAGTTATATTTTATAAATAGGAACAAGTATAGTATTATAGATGATAATTAATGTGAAAAAAAAATAAAGAGATGTACAATGAAAGAATTGAGATGTGAAAAAAAAAATTCAAAATTAATGTTATAACATCTCAATATTTTAAGATTCATGAACGTTTACATATCCATACTCATGCAATTTATTCCTTAAGCTTGACCTATAATTCTAATAAGCTAATTTATTTTTACAACACTACTTTTTTTACACCATAAATTTGATTCTATCTAACACTCAGTTTTTTTTTATTACCTTACCTTTTATTACTTTCTTTTTCTCCTTTATTTTTTTATTCCAAAGTGTATGCACTTCTTGAAGTGTGAAATGATTATTTTTCTTATTCTTGTTTGTTTTTGTAGGATTTTGTTATTATAAAATTACACTATATATTAACTAAAACTTTTGACCAACTATAGTAACTGGTAAGCGCTTAATAGCCCAATACTGCTTCATCTATACATCCAACACGAAATGCCTTCACCTTTCTAATTGAGAGATTTTCCATTTCCTTTGTTCACTACCAGGAATGGCGTTACATGTATACGTGAGAAAGCGATCGAGGAGCATATACGTCCTCGAATTCGGAACCCTAATCACATTGATTTAATGTTTTTCTACAATAAATAAGCTGAGGCTGGAATCTTATATGATCTGGTACCCTATCTACATTAGGATTAGTTTTGTGTGAATAAAACTTTATACTATATGTCTATCTGTAAAACTATTCTTGTAGTGTTGCGTTTTGAATTTAATAATGAGAATGTCAAACTAAATTATACTCTAGGACAGAACTAACACATACTGTAACCAACACTACCCTGTCTATCCCCACAGCTAGTAGGAACACGCCAGCATTTAACACAAAATGGTAACTTCAATTTTCAATTTTAGTTTCTATGGACAATCAAAGTGCATAAATATATATGAATGATTGAAAAGCTCAAAACTAAAACCCTAATAAGTGCTACCGACAAAATACATACTGACGACTGATGAAAATCAGTCATACAATTATGTTATTGAAATCGAAGATAAGATAGGTGATTAATTAGAGTAATTAACGCAAGCAACCTAAACAAAGTTGATAGTAGAAATTAGCACAGATAAATGTCTATCTCTCTCTCTCTCTATATATATATATATATATATATATTAATATATATATGTATGTGCAGTTCACAGATACGCATGATTGAGTCATTACTTGAAGGACATGTTGCTGTACTCTTGATTTGGTGGCTCAGGGATTGGATTCCACTCCCACAGTCGGTCAGAGAAGGTGGTTGGAAGTGGATTTGGTAGTGAGTTGAGAGACACTACTGGTGATGGTTGCATCAGCAAAGTTGAGAACTGATTGGGATGGCTTTGAACATTGTAGTACTGTTGTTGATAACTCATTAGCCTGTTCAGTTCATCCATATTGACAACACTATTATTGGAATTAGAAGGCCCAGCAGAGAAGATTGTTCCACAAGCAGGGGCAGTTGCATGGGTTGGTTGCTTAGATTGTTGCTGATGTTGCATCATCATCAACCCTTCGTCGTCCAGCGGAACAACTGGAAGACCCATTGTGGTGGTGAGTGCACCCATTGCAGCACGGTAAGCATTGTATTTGGAAAGTCCAAGAGCTGTGTTGACATCACTGCTTGCTTCGGTTTCGTTCATTTTTTCAACTATGTGATCGTTTGGCTTTGCTTGTGCCACAAATCCCATGTTATTGTGGTGAAGCATTTCGTTGTGCTTCTTATTATTGTCAGAATTTGAAGAAGCTCTTGATGATGAGGATGGACGTGTTGGGAGACAGCGAGGGAGGGAGGGATGGTCCTCGACTCCAGCTCTCTTGTACACACGGCAAAGAGATATCTCAGCCTGAAAAAAAGGAAAAACAATTCAACTTGGGTGGAGTACGGAGGCATGAAGAGAATTTATGGTCGATGATAAGACTTGAAAGAATTCATGCATGCAGTCATAAATGTGAGTGCGAGAAAAGGATAAAGAGAGTGAATTAATGGCAAACGGTGCTGGTTGTTTTGATTTTCTGCCAACTCTTTTATTTTGATCCCTCTTTCTCTCACGTATTCATTAATTCTTCACCTCTCGCCTTCTCGATCCTCAGTCTTGACTTTAGACTATGAGTGGCTGCGAGTTTCACGCAGCTACTATATTTTGGTGTGCTATAGCCACGCACCTATGAATCTCCAAGGGTGGAAGCGTCTATGCGCAACACCAACACACCAGGTAAAACGTAAAAGCTAGCTAATTAAAGGAACAAGAATTACTATAGGTTTAAAACGAACTAGGGTTGAATTTAAAAAGCAAAGCAAGAAGAAGAAGAAGAAGAAAGAAAGGGTAAATATATATGGTAATAAACCTTTTGATATCGTTCAGTTTCATGTTGCGGCAGGCGATACTCGTTCATAATCCAACTGGTTCGGATGCCTTTGGGAGCTTTCCCAGAATAGAAAACTAGGGTTTTCTTGAGGCCGATGGAGCGAAAATTCTCGGTTCGGATCATCCTGTCAGCTCCTGTTGCCTTCCAATAACCAGAGGTAGTGACACGATTGGGACGATCACCGTTGCGATACTTTCTATCTCTCGGCACATAAAAATACCATTCCTTCTCACCAATAGCTGCCAAGGCTGTTCATCAAAATTCACACAACAAATTAACATCTCAATTCACAGACATAAGACAAAGAAAAAGAATATATATAGAAGGCGAAAAAGTTAGCTAGGTAGGAAAAAGAAAAAGAAAAAGAAATAATATATAAAAAATTAAAGGGAGAGATGGCAGATAAAAGGGGGAGTTAGTTCCCAGAATTGCTTCAAGAAAAGGGAAGCTTTAATATATATACCGGGAAGTTCCCAAGGGTCATAGCGATAAAGATCGAGGAAAGTAATGAGCTCAACGTTGAAACGCTTTCCCTCCACCTTACGGCGAAGGTAGAATTCGACCAGCTCTTCTTCAGTGGGGTGGAAGCGGAAACCGGGCATGACCATGTCGTGGTCGTGATCATCGGGTTTGTTGATGTTGTTGTTGTTGTTATTGTTGTTGTTATTGTTGTCGTTGGTGGTGGAGGTGGTGGTGGTGGTGCCCTCCTCTTGGCTCTGGCTATGGCTGAGACTCATGGTGGGTGATGAGTTTGGCGCTGCAATTGCCATTGACTATGTGTAGTAACTAACAATAACTAGTTAATAATCTCAGGCAGGGGCTACAACTACACTTTGCTTTGGCCTCACCTCTTTATACTCATAAAAGTAATATTTGTACCAATTTGGTGGTACACTAGTGTTAGGCAAAGATAAGAGATTGATGGTTAACATGACTAGTAGTATATGCGAGTGACCAGACTCAAAATTAAATTAATTATTTTATTTTATTTTTTAAAAAAAATTGAGAAACATCTACATTACATAGGTGGCCCTACATGGGAAGAGGGTATACGCTAAGGTGTTTTTAAGATGAGAAAATGACTTTTCAAAAAGAAGACAGGGTGGCTACAGCCCCAAAGCGGTGCCCTTGGACCTTTCTCCCACCACCTACATCTTATATCTTCTCTATATTTCTTCTACCCTTCACCAAAATATGTTGTAAGTTTCTGTCACCAAATCATATATATCTCACCTAAAACACTCGCCTCTCTTTTACTCGTTAAACTATTATTTATTTTTTTTAAAGGATACACTCGTGTGTTCTTTCCCTCTTTTTTGTCTCTTTCCAACAGATCATGTTAGCTCTCTAAACTAAAACTGTTTTTAACTAAAACCGACTTTTCATTCACTATATACTTTTTTAATCTTATACCCCTCTTTCTTATATCAACAAATTTGTTTTTCAAACATTTAGGTTATACTACTTCATTTGTTCCATGCAAATTGTTGAGTATATGTTAAATTGTTTTCTTCATTTCGTTATTGCGTTAATAGGTTCTTTTTATTGCCCGTACATTAGCAGTTCACGTGCACCACATGAATCTCGTAAGTACGTTTCCTCAAAATTATATACACGATGAAAATATCACAAAAACCTCCAACTTGGTCCTCCATAATTAACAATTACATATGGAAGTTTAAAGTTAACTACTATAAGTTTATTGTGTATTACATTGATACATTTAAATTAAAGTAAAATTTTAAAATAAAAAAGGTTAAAAAATTAATTATAGATGTTCTCATTATTAATAATTGGTATTTTATTTTAATAAATGGGAATATATAGAGATACATTTTAAAAATTGGGAATGAAATCTGGATTAAAATATATTTTTATTAATACAGTGCATTTAAATTCAAATTTTTAAAAGCGAAGTTAAATGATGATTAATTATAAGATTATAATAACTTTAAAATTCAATTTTTTTAAACAATATGGTCAATTTAGACTACAAATTGTCACTTGTTATTTTAGTCTCTAAACTTAATAAAATGGAAGAAAAAGTCTTTGAAATTGTAACTTGACACTCATTTTATTTTATCCGTTAAGTGATGTTTGTTTTCTGTAATAAAAATGATTATGTGATATAATTATTAAGTGTTATATGACATACATTATTGTCACATGACACACATGTCATGTGAGTAAGTAACGTGTCATATGTTATGAGTGCAACACAAAGTTATTTTAGTCTTTAATTGTAACTTATTATTTTAGTTTCTAAAATTACAACTTTTAATGTTGCTTTAATCTCTAAAATTATAACGGATATTAATTTATTTGTAATATAATGTCATTTTCATCCTTGGAATTATAGCTTAATATCATGTTAGTTTAGTCTTTGAAATTGCAATTTGGTGTCATTTTAGTCTCTTAACATTATTATAATTTCATTTTAATTAATTGTGGCTTGAATATATACAATAAAGTAGATAAAGTTATTATTGTAATTGGAAAGACTAATAAATAATCAAATCATGTTGTAAAATTGATAACTAACATTGTATTTTTTTTAAGTATGTTATATCTCCTCTTCTAATTAATTTTTTTCCCTCTTTTATTCATTTTATTTTAAAAAAGTACATATAAATAAAAAAAAATCTATAGTTTCTCTATATTTTATATTATTTTTATAATTAATTCAATTATCAATTATTTCTTATTTTTCTCTATTCTGAAGAGAATTTATTACTTTTATTTCTTAAATTTGTAGAGTTTAGGATAGATCTAGTTTTCGCTTGAATAATTTAAAATTAAATTAGTATTGTTTATAGAAAGACTAATATATTTATCATCATAGATTCATAGGGTAAGATGGGAGGCTCGAAGAAAAAGAGTGTTAGAGGACCCCAAACTAAAATTTACGGTTAGTTAGAACTTAGAAATGTAATATAGATAATTAAAAACTTCGTTTCATATTTATGTATTAAAAAAATACAAAATTAATCGATTAAAAGAAAAAATAACCTCAAAATGAGAATAAATATTAAGTATTATGTTGTTAAATATCATACTCTTCATATAAAAAATATTAATTTAATTATTTATTTTACTTGCAATTATTCAAATCAAAATTATAATACCCTAAACCCTGTAATTTTTAAGAGGTGATAATTAATAGAATGCTTTCTAGAATAGAGAAAAATAAGAAATAATTGATAAGTGAAATAAGTATGAATATAAAATAAAAATATAGAAAACGTATAAACTATTTTTGTTTTATTTATTTTAAAATGAATAAAATATGATTAAAAAAAACAGATAATTAGAAGAAGAGATATAATATACTTAAAATAAAAAATACAATGTTAAATACCAAATTTATAATATGATTTGAATATATTTATCCTCTATTTACAACATTAACTTAATTGCCCATTTTATTATGTAAATATTTGAGTCACAATTAATCAATTAAAAAATCACAATAAAATTTTGTAACTAAAATAATTTTGAATTATACTTTCATTCTTGAAATTGACACCATGTTACAATTTTAAAGACTAAAATATTGTGTATTATATATACTCATATGACATATAACACATGTCATGTAAGTGTGCATCATGTGTATCACATGACAATTTTTGAATCACAAAACACTTCTATTAAAAAATATATATTTTATTTAACAGAAAAACTAAAACGAGTGACAAATTATAATTTTTGGTATTTTTTTTTAATTTTTATCAAATTTGGAACTAAATTGATAGCAAGTAACAATTTAAACGACTAAATTGGTCATGTACTCTTAAAAATATTAAATATGTCTTCATTATATATAGTATATTAAAACTCAAAATTTAAATAAGAATAATAGTATTTAAAAAATAAAAATTATAAACTAAAATTAAAACTTGATATTCATTATAGGAGAGAAACCATGTATCTTATTTTTCTTCTTTCATTTTTATCTTTATTATTTTAATACACTCCTTTTCTTTATATCGCCATTTTCTTAATCATTTTCATGTTATCCACTCTAGCTATTTTAACATACTTATTTAATATTTTTTAATAAAAATTGATCTTTAAAAGTTTTAGTAAAGATTATTAGTATGAATTTAAAATTAATAAAAGTATAATGACCCAAACTTAAACTTTACCTATTAAAACAAAGAACGTGCATAATAATTCAGACTAAAATACTTAAACTTGGCCTATTGTTTATAAAATATATAATTTAAATTTAGCTTATTTAGTTATTAATTTTTTTAATTTGTTATCTTTATACTAGAAAATAAAGTAAAATAGAAAGTAAACATTATTTTATACTCGTGAAGATAAATTAAGATTAAAACATAAACCAATTCAAGTTAGAGGTAATAATACAAAATTAATTTTTATTCTCATGCCTATCAAACAACATAACTAAATTTTTATCACACTCTTTACTCTCATCCCCAAATTTCGAATTGCACCCCTCATGGATCTTGGATAGATGGAGTGTAGTGTCTCATAGTTGATAAAATGAAGCAGTGTGAGAGAGAAGATGAGCCATCTCTGTTGAGTTACATTCGAGGGAAACATCGAGACATTCAGGAAAAGGTCTTTGCTTACTTCAACACGAATCGTGTCGGCTTAATTTGACAATAGTTCTACCTACTTTTACTTTTTATTCTATTGCTGTATTTTTATTTTTATTTTTCTAATTTGTAGTTTGTATGTTGGATTGGAGCTTCGATTGCACGAGAATGACGATGACTACGTTTCTACGAATGTTGTTAGTGGTCCTCAATCCTCATGGTTCGTTAGAGACACGGTGCTTGAGAAGGGCTTGGGGTCGTGGAGGATGACGGAACATTGCGAGAATCAGACATCTTCATTATTTATAATTAGTATTTTAGTTTATGTAATATACTCTCTCTCTTAGGAATTGAATACTAATATTAAGAAAATTTACAATACTCACGTATCTTCCCTCTCTCTTTGCCGCATAATGGGTATATCATATATACACCGTATCAACCGGTAAGAGAAAGAGTTCTTCGCAAGTAAGTTCAATATCATATTTTAGATTGATATACACTTCACTTTTAATTGTTTAAAATCAGCCTTCAAAAACAATGTTACTGATAAATTCATTTGCAGTTTTTGTTTAAGGTTATTAATTAGGATTTGGTTGAAGATTTTTCACCTAGTTAATTAGGAATGAGTGAAAGATTGGGGAGTAAACCCCAATAGTTGAGAAAAGATGACATTAGAAAAATTGTTGTCAAAGATCATTAATTAGTCAGAACATTAATTTCTTATGTAATAAATTCGTTTATTAATAATAATAAAATAACACTATTTGTGTGTGTGTATATATATATATATATCTCTTTAAAATTATAATACTTTATAATTAGAAATAATAAAAAAGTAAAAGGCCATATGAAATTTACTTCCCACTCTAATCTTCTCATAATTGCTATTAAACTTTAATCCCCAAAAGTCTTAGATGGGATGTGGTTTTAGAAGTATGTGCAAGCTAGTTGTGATAATAAAACAAATAGCAAGAAAAGTTTGCGTTGACAATTTCACATAAAATTTCTTGGTGCAATGCATAAAACGGCTCAATGTGATGAAGAGATTTTATAGCTGGTGCCCGCTTGTAGTTTTGTGGTCTCCAATTACTAATTAGGTTTTAATGTAACCATCACAAAGGCCTTATATTTTCGCCACTTTCTTCTCTCACACTGTTAGCTTCCAACTAAATTTAGCTAATTAAGAAAAGCTCCAGCAGAATAAAGATGGTAAATAATTAATTACTTTGTTTATATGACTGAGAGTGTTTAAGTTAATTAGTGTGAAGCTTTCTCAGATCATTTGTTAAGCGTGAAATATCCATAATATATGAAATTAAAGAATTTAAATA